CGAAATGTCACCTCCGTCACACCTCGCAACCTCACGATTCCTTGTGCCTGCAAAGAAAATCCCACTTCCACACCTCAAAAGCCACACTATAAGTACTGCGCCTGTTACGAAAAGTGACAATATCATCTCATGTGAGCTTCAACAACATTTGCACCACACCACACGTTTGCAATGATTTCGACCCGTTCTGCACACACTCCCATCCACCAAAATCGGCATTTCAGCTGAGACTTGTCACGAAAACAGAGCTTCGATGCCACACCCTGCAACGCAAATCCCAATGGCACGGCCACATCCAACACCCCAAAACACGACTCTCCAAACGCTAATCCCAATGGAACTACGCAGTAATCTGCAGATCTCACAAAACGCTGCGCCTGCGCAGCGAAACGCATTACGTTTCTTGCGCCACATCTCATTTTCATGCAAATCACAATGGAATAGCGGCGCAAACTGACACGTGACACATCCATGAAAAGTCACTTGCAAAAGCTTCCCCCAATGGCAGCGCCTTAGCGCTCTACTGCGGACGGTTGCGGACGGTTGCGAACGGTTGCGAACGGTTGCGGACGGTTGCGAACGGTTGCGGACGGTTGCGAACGGTTGCGGACGGTTGCGAACATAGAAACAACGGGTCGCGAACAAGGCTCCACCCCCCAGACCCCCAAGAGTTAAACGAGAACCCTTCGCTACGCATTCGGGAAAAAAGTGTGAAAGTTATAAGCAACCCTTTTTGATCGCTAGTCATAACTTGTTCCACTTACTTTTTTGTGGTGTGGTTCTCTGCTTTTCAATGGTTTCGCATCTTTTTTGGAATTGTGTACGCGCTGAATATGCGTGGGTTAGTTAGTGTGCTTTGCGCTTGTTTTCTTTGACGCCGCTTCGTTCAATCTTCGTTCAGTTTACAAACGCCAACGCAAAACAGCAGCGGCTATAGCCGCTCCATTCAAACTACAGACGCCAACACAAACAAGTAGCGGCTATATAGCCGCTTCGCGCAAAATACAAACAAAAACCAACGCAAACAAGTAGCGGCTATAGCCGCTTGCCCCTCCCCCCAGAAAACATTCCAACTCCCCCAAAGCCAGCAACCTCGAAATCCATGACAGCATTCAAACTGCACATGTTGTACATACAACCTATGCTACATACATATGCATGTCTGTGATTGCGCTTCAATTTCATAGATGATCTAATGATCTAACCCTCCCTGATCCATTCCTTGCTTTTGTTTTGATGATCTCATGCATACTTGCCACGCATTGTTTATCCAAAAACATAAAATCGCATATTTTCACACATAAACGCATATAAACACATTTGTCACACTTTTTCACATTTTCAACATATTTTCACATATTTTTACTACCCTAATTTTCTGAGTCCTATCTGATGTAGACCGCGTTTCCTCGTTGTCGGTCGCTGTCATCACGCCGCTCTTTTCAAGGGTCATGCAGGGATCACGGCATGGACATGAAAAGCTGGAGTTTCAAATCCCTATCAAAAACCTTCAACATCTAATTAGCTAAACCATGACTGTCATACCTAAAACAGGAAACCAAACAAACATGATTAACTGGTGCCAGCCATGTGCAGCATGTCATCATCAGTGCTTGCATGGTAACTGGTGTTTATTTGTGTTGCCAGGCAATTGTGAAATGTGGTGATAGCTGACAATTGTGCTTCATAACATATCTACTAAAACTTCACATCAGGAGCCTGTGGCTGGTTGCAAATGCGCTTAGCGTATTCGTGTGTGTGGCTGCTCATGATGCGACACTCACATGGGGTCAGCGTTTGCGTTTGTTGGTTTCTTTGTCATGTATTGGAGAATTCCACTGCAACTGACTTCCAGCTGAGATGAGAGTGGACTGATTCCGCACATTTTTGCACATTTTGACACATTTTTGCACATTTGAATTCACAGAAATATACATATTTCCGCATATTTTTACATTTTTGCACAACAATCATATAATAAGCAAAATAACAAAATAAATAAAGTAAATAGAATAATGAAACAACCAACATAAAATAATCTACAACCATTGTATGCTGATGTACATTTGTGAGTAGAAACCATCAATAGCCAGATTCAGTCTGAACTGCAGCCATGTATCTTTGTCCCTGGTATTATGTTCCAACACTGCTGGGCGGCGTTGAACGGCGAGTTCGTGTGAAGAAGACAATGAAAAAGACACCGCGGTGACAGAAGCTCCAGTGCAGTCCACTGAAGGAGTGGCAGAACTGAATCCAGCTCCAGCACCTGCTGTCACAGCTTTTAGAGATTTTGTGTAGAAGAACAAGGCGGTAGAAGCAAAGTTTGTGGCCACCAGTCGGGATGCTTCACTGACAACAGTAAGACCAACACAAGGTCTGGCTGCAGGTGTTGTAAACAAAGTTTATTTGATTTGACACACAAAAGTTTGCGCAATACAGCTGCTTTGAAGTGTGACTCTACTAAAATGATGAGTCAGTGCTTCCTGTAGTGGGTTTTCTTAGGACATATGACCATCCATGTTCATGATTTTTAGGATTTCAGCCATCTGATTCATGCATGTGTGTTTCACCCCTCTTATTGTACAGAAGTTTTTGTATTAGTGCTCGTGGACGTGTCTTCATGTTTCGCATGCTTTTGCATTATATATAGTTTCAAAGCACTTTTTGTACGTTTAATCAATTTTATGCATTTTCCACACACAGGGCCCATGAACAAAAAACCACTTTGATCTAAACCTCCCCGAACCAACCCTCGCTTTTGTTTTGACGATTCATTCAAGTTTCGAGCACAAATACAAACAAGCTCGGTTGGAGCACTGTCTAGCCGACTGTTTGACAAAGCGTTCTGCAGCGCCTGATGGGTTGATTCATGCCGTAGCAACTGGCCCATTGAGCAACATTGATGTGCGTCATCCATTCAGAACGATGATCAAATCCAAGACTTTTGTCAGTCATTGGGTTGTTCGCAATCTCAAGATCGCTCACACCATTTGTGCTGTCCTTGGGATGAAGGGTTCGACTTTGACCGTCCAGGTTCCCTTGTTTCCCTTTTCTTCCCTTGTTCCCCGTCCAGGTTTCCTGATTCACTGCTCGCCCAGGTTTTTTAAACTTCCCCTGTTTCCCGCTCACTCACGTCCGTGCTTCTTCAAACCCCCGCGATCTTGACGAAACAGTGATTTGGAGCCAGCATATCTTGGCCAAACAAACGGAAAAATTGACAATAAGAAATGTCGTGGCCAGGTGCGATCATAATTTTTGCGTTATATAAGTTTTACAAAAGGTGCAAGTGACTAGGAGTTACATTACAACTTATTGAAAAACTTTAAAGCAGCTATATAGCAGCTCCAGAAAAACATGTTTCAAACAACGTGCTTTGCGTTGTCAAAGCTGCCGGCTTGTTTGAAATAAAAGGGGCACTCATAACTTTTGAAATGCTTTTAATGCACATCAGAACCTCAATTTTTCAACGGCTTGAAGCAACTTTATGTAGAAAGTTATGCCGCAGTTATAGTTATACTAGAACTATACCCAGCTGTAGAACAAGGAGTTATAACTTTTTGCGGCGCCATTGTATGTTTCAGGTTCTTCAACAGCTGCTACTTTCTTGGCCCTTACCTATACTTTTGCTCTTAGATTGGCCTTTACCACCTTTGCCTTTACTTGAAACTCTAGTTTCATGAGTTGGACCCTTTCGCGCTGCCTTTGCCCTTCTGTTTGCCTTTGTCACTTCCTGCGCCTCCAGAGTCTTGACGCTTTCCTTTTCCTTTGCCTCGTCGCGAGCCGCCTTTGCCCTTTCCCTTAGCCTTTCGCTAGGCTGGCAAGCGACGCTTGGATCTGGCTGACGGCAGTCTGAACTCTGACACTGTCAGCGGTGAACTTTCTGAGAGGTCAATATGATCTTGAAGCTTTAGTGCGCACTTGCTGTAAACGGCTCCTGGAGCGTCATCGTCCAATCTGTTCTTCCCTTTCTGTCCTCATACTTGCGCCCGAAGTTCTCGCAGGGCTCCATCAGCAATGCTGAATCGGCTTGTGGGTTTACTTGGTGATCAGACTTCTCAAGGCTGAAGTGTTCTTGACAATCTTGAGGGCTTCAACTTCACAGAGTGCGGTCAGCGCCTGTCGAGCCTGGAAGTTTGTGCGATTTCTGCATCTTGGCGCTCTTCCAAGATTTCAATGGTTGGCCTCAACCCACGTCTTGAACTTAAAGTGCCGGGAGTCCAAGTTCTTCTTCGTCCACTGAACTTGTCAGGCTCTGGAACGCCTTTGGGCTCTGAGCGGTTTCAAACTTCGCAATGTTCTTGGTGATTGCCGCTTGCTGTGTGTAGGCTTCTGCCATTACTTTCTGACTTGGTTTTGTCCAGCAGCCAATGCGTGCATCGTTTGCAAGCTGAGCCGTTGCGCAACTTCCCGTGCTGGGACGCGTGCACTTCGGTTACCTTCAACCCGTAGACGGTAGCTGGGTTCTTACAACCTCCGCTACCAGGCTAAGAAAGTTCAGCCGCCCCCGTATCACAGCACCACCTTTTCTCTTGCCCTGACATCAATCAAGCTCAATGAAAGTGAGCAAGCTGGCTGCAGCGAAATATGAACATGCCATGCGCATGAAACTGGCTCAATCTGATCAGAAAAGGAACGCGCAGCCCTGCTGCTACAACACGGCAATAAACCAGATCCAGATCAAAGGGCTGCTCTTTGTAAGAGCCAAGCGCGGGAACATACTGGGCTCGAGAGGCGTGCGCTGTCAGCACTGCTGGACAACAGCGCAACAGGATCCAATTTCAACCCAACATCCCAATGGCGCCTAAGCAGAGGGTGTCCATGCGGGTTGGCCGAGGCAGCGCGCAAAGCAGAAACCAGGTCGGACTATTGAGCGCCCCATGATAGGTCTTTGAGCATAGAAAAGGTGCAGGTTGCATGAACAGCGCATATGACATGGAGACTAATTGGACCAAATGGAAAAATTGAAGCCCTGACAATTACAAGGCCTTGCGCGCGCCTTGTTTTTGCTGGCTGCACCAGTAGCTGGCGGGCCTAACGCCTACTATAGGCCATACACAACATTGGCCTGCTGCTACATTGAATAGCATACTATACAGTGCACCTCCAGGGAGCACGCAGAAAACTCAAGACTCTATAAGCTTTGCCCTACACTCTGCATCATAAATTTCATCGTATGAGAGGGTGCCATTGCCATCCCGATCCTCAACAAAAGGTTGGTGAGGGACGGTTGCTCCAAGCCAAGTTGTCTTGCCTTGTAACTTGTAGCACGGAAAATGATTGTTGACCTTTCCTGTGGTCAATTGTGGTCAGTTTCCTGGCTATTCACAAAGGATGAAGCACGGATTGGTGTGTGTGTGTAACCAGCTATTTTCACAAGCGGTTAGTTTTCAAGCTGCATTGTTAGCGGACGGCAGGGAGCCGTAGTGTGTTCGGATGACTGCGCCCAACGAAGCCAATCCGAAAACGGGATACCAGGAGGATTGGTCGTCTTGGCAAGTTTACCTGAGACTGGTGAGCGGGTAAGCCCAGAACCTGCGCGTTGACAAGAGTTAACGAACATTGTCGCTGAGTTTCCCGTTGTTCTCAATTCTTTCCCGTTGTTGACACACATTTCCTGCATTATTTTATTGCTTTTCCTGTCTTCATGCTTTGGTATCTCAATGTATCACATTTATCTTTCTCTTGCCCGCGCGCGTCAGCTAGGCTGTAGCTGGACGAAGGATAGCAAAACCACGCTAGCAAGTGGCAGACAAGTGGTCCAGGAATGGTGCAATGAGGTCTGGCTCATTCGGTTGTCCCTGTGCATCTGGTTCTCCCTTTCGCGCACTTTTCGTTCCATGTCCCTTCTTCATGCCCCTCACTCGTCTTCTCTTGCGCGCGCATGCGCGTACTCAGGTGGAGTTTGCCAGCCACATTATCACCTTTGTTGGACTTGGGCTATGATTGTTCTGTTCGTTCAAGCCCTGCACACGACTTTGAGCATCACCCCGCCCAGCTGTCGAGTCCTTATTTGGTACACTCTGTCAGGTAGCCTCGCCCTGGAACATTCCCTCGTTCGACTCTTCAGGTGGTTTGAACCTTCTGTGCGGAGCTCTGGCCTTTCAGGTCGTTCGGAACTTAGCAGTTCATACTTTTCAGGGCGTCCGGAACTCAGTCGTACACACCTTTCAGGTCGTCCGGAACTCAACCCAACCGTTCACAGGATTCAGGTTGTTCAGAACTTATATAAGTCATTCCAGGCGGCTAGTTTAAGGACGATCGAACTGCCGATATTTTGCCACATGGTTTTCTAATTCTCTGATGCAAGCAGCGATGACGAACTTATAATGAGGCCGCCCAAAAAAAGGGCGTTGTGCATATAACCCGCTATTATCAAAAGCGGTTAGTTTTAATGCTGCATTGTTACAGGAGCCGACAGCAGTGGGGCGTAGCGTGTTCGGATGCTAGTCCGAAAACAGGATACCAGGATTGGCCATCCTGGCGTAATTGCAAAATATTGCAAGTGCTTTTTTTGCAAATTCACATGAGAATGGTGAGCGGCTAAGCCCAGAACCGCATTTAACAAGAGTTAGTGAACATTGCTGTTAACGCACTTTGCTTTCTGTCCTTGTTCACGACAGTGTCGTCAGCTCACCAGTTACAGGACTTTCGTGCTGATAGGCTGTGGACCCAGGAGGCCAACGTTCACCCCAGCTTTCAAAAGCTTTACTTAGCAACAACCATTTCACAGGGTGTGTCGTAAAAACCTCTTAGATTTCTGAGAGCATCAATACTGTCGAAGAGCGCATCAATCGACTGAAGTAATTCCTCGGATACCTGCACAAACTGAATTCACAAAGCTTCGGACACAATCAATGAAGCTATCATACGCAAAGCAAATGCTGGAGAATGATTGCTCAGTATTGCTTACATTGTCTGAACCCATCCAGCCTTGCCCTGTCGAATGAGCATGTATGAGCGAAACTCTGCTTTGCTAATACTTCCATCTCCACTTTGGTCAATGAAGCGTTGAAACACAGCAGGTGAGACACGGAGCTTCTGCGAGTATGATGACTTGAAGTCATCAATGACGGCTGCTAAGCTTCCCACCTCCAGATACGATGTTTACAAAGCACAGGCTATGTTATTTTTACAAAAGCATACTCATAGAATCAGAAACACTCACAGGCTAATTGCTGTGCCAATCTATGTCATAGACTCATAGACAATGACTCAGTGACTCATAGCAGATTGCATCCGAGGTACCAGACTGGCGAAGGCCAAAACACCGAGAATCATCATGAAAGCACCGAAGATTCTGCCAACAATTGTTTTTGGAGCGAAGTCTCCGAAGCCAACCGTCGTAAAAGTGATCACGGCCTGGTGAAGCCACCAACTTCCCCAGCGACTGTTGTAAGATCAAATGTTGACACAAAAAGGTCAGCTTGTCTAAGTTTGACACAACTGTCTCTTGCTAACACGTGTTTTGAGACTTTCAATCTTGGTGTTCTTGTTTGCTTGCAGTTTGAATCAGTCCCTCGAACGCTGGTCTGTGGCTGCTGCAAAGTAGAAAGCTTCGCCCATTGACATTGTCGATCCGCCAGTTGTGGAACATCCATCTTCCACACATCCTTCTATTGCTGTTCTTCCGTAGGAACAAGTGCATGACTCCTTAGCAAAGCCGGGATGAGCAGTGGTCGTCACAAGCAAATATAGCTGAGCCTAGCATCGGTCAATGCAAAGAAAACAGCCCAAATCACCACGCAAGCACCATACATGGTCAGCTGCTGCAGGAAATTTGACCATCTTGCGCACCTCCGAAACAGCATTTGTCTTCGCTTACACAAAAATCACTTTTGGAATTGGACAAGGAGATCTCATCTATTAAAAGCTTTCCACGCTTTACCACCATCGATTCCACAGCATACATCATGCTACACACCTTCGGATTGGAATTGGTTGGTCTGAGTCGGAATCTGCTTGCAACAAATGGCGTGCTCGGTAGAAGGACTTGCTGAGTTGATCTTCTCCAAATTCCAACCTTGATATTTGGGATGCGAGAGAGCAACCTTTACACACAAATCTCGGTTCGTTCTTGCGAACACCATGATATGCACGATTTCTAAACTTTCTTGCCTTCCAAGAAGCACCTCAGTGAATATGTCACTCATGATATTTGCAATGATACCAAGCCCAAGCAATACGTAGATTGTCACGAAAACGTTCACGTCTTTGAAAGGAAGGTCTCCGTAGCCTGACAAAGGGACAAAGACAAAGTTCCAAGACGTAAAACAAAGTGACTGGGATCATCTGGGATCCACGCCAATCGTGGTTAGAATTTCCACACACGCGTAGAAGGCCGTGCTGGGCTGTGCATCCAACGCAAAGACAAAGTAGACGACTCCAATGGCCAAATATGTTGAGAAAAGAAACCTTCAACTTGCACACTGAAGCTCAAATCTAGCCTGATGGAGGCTTCCAACACAAAATATGAAAGAAAGGTAAGCTAGCGAGATTGAAGTGTTACAGTGTTGACAGCGATCACACTGAGGTCTCCCTCGTGCTTGGTCTAGGATTTTTGCTGACAATACTTTGCACTCTTTATCAACACATGTTGCTCAACATGGTTGGCAATTCAGGAGTGCTATTTTTGGCAAACTGCTCAGCTGTCTTGTATTCAGGTCAGAAGGTCACAAACTGGGATGAGCTCCTCAACTGTGACTTTCGATTGCTGCAGAGGTGATGTCAGATGTGTTTCTATTTCGTGCGTGTACAGTATTCTTGTAGTGGGACAAATTCATTTTCCTATCACTGCTCCGTAAAACAAGCCCCCCCAGGGTTCATCAAGCTGATCAGAGCGGAGTTCGGCTGTTGCTCCCACCCCACAGAAAGTCAAATCTGTCCAGCGGCAGATTTGTTAAGCGCGGATATCTGATGAAGAAGGGCAGGTCAGACTTTGCTTCAAGCGCATCTTCATCGGAGTCTACACCTCAGAAAGCTTCAAGCGCACCATGGCGGCCAATCGCATCCAACCAAAGATTCCGCCAACAAAACACCCAGCTGAGTGATTCCAAGCGTCTGTCGGTTGCAGGAATTGTCGCTAGTCGCTTTTGATCCATTGCGTCGCTGCAACAAAGGGAAACATTCAGGTCTAAGCCTGAGCCGAAGCAGGATTGAAACAAGCACTCTGAGAAGACGTTTCTTGCAAGAATTGCTCGAGTAGTCTGCGCAGTGTGCACATGAACAGTTCTGAGGCACCGCTTGGTGTAGGCAGTGCCCTACAGTGTCTTGCCTGTATCTTCTTGATTTCGGATTACTTTTCTATTTTGCAGCTGGTGCTTTCTTTTAAGATCTTTACCTGCAAAATAGAAACAAGAGAGACACAACCAATGACTGCGATATATTATGTTTTTGTTTCAATATCATTTACAGTAAACTTTTGCCGGGAAGATCGACATTAATTTTAATAGTATGAGATGATTTTTTTTAACCATGCTTTCCTTCTTACAGTTCTCGTCGATCATCATACTGTATTATACTTGATGTTGGTAGTTGCTGAGACATTGTATCTAATAAAACAAAATAAACTTGTGTGTAATTGACCTCATCAATTGTCAGATTATAAACACAATATGTTGTTGCTGATGAATATACAGAATACATCATATCATTCCAACCATTGTGAAATAGCTCATCTTTCTCTTATTATTCTTTATTAATGGTGGCGGTTCTTTAAAGTCCATATCATCTCTAATAATACCCCTTGAATTTGCATATGGATGTTGTAGAATGAAATGCAAATCAATTTTATCGTTCATGACGGTTTCAATCATCTGGTCTCTAATGAACGATCCTCCATAAAATCCATTAATACATTTTGTGACCACTCTTATACTAATGGGTTTTATAGTCTTAATGTCTTCCATGTTTCACTAAAGAACCATTGTGATTATTAATCTTTAATCAAGAACTTTAGCGGAGGTTTGCATAGTTAGGATTAAGAGTTGTGACTTGATGCACGCATAGTCCTTTCCTTTTCGACCTTCTTTTCCTTTTCTTTGTCTTTATCTTTAGTCCGTTGGGCCTTTCCTTCTTGTTTCTTCCATTCTTCTTGTTGGCTTTCTCCTTCCTCTTCATAGACAGTGGGCGGCGGCGGGGCTCTGTTTGGCATCTCTATATGTTGAGTACAGGGTGATTGCAAATCAAACGTTTAGAACCATTGGAATCACATGTTGTGTTTGCAGTTCATTATTGGATTGCCTTCGGTTGTTTTCCTCTTGGGGTGTGCTTGGATTTCCGAATTTTGAGGTTCAACAAAGGGGTGAGAATTCACGTACACCCCCAAGGATGGTCATTCTATAGATCTGATATGCGCTCCATAGAGTTATATATATATATCTACTATAAAATCCAGCCACCCACGGGATGAACAAATAGGATTCAGACCAGAGAATCACAGCCCTCATGGTTGCAATCTTGACCAAACAAAACATGCTATCTCGAGGCGGTCCACTATAAAGTCATACACCCCCAATAGCAATAGCAGGTCGATAAAGACAATAACATATAGCAGGTCCCTTGATTCTATAGTGGACCACCCAGGGTTCTTCAAACAACCAAGCACTTTAGAATCAGGATCCATGGGTTCTGAGAGGCCTCACTCCCATTCACCATTGGAACCTCCAAATTCTCCTTCACCTACACATACTGAGTGAATCTACTCCTTTTTTTCTACCTACTCCCATCAAATTCCATCGCCACATTCAGCCAACACCAGAATCCCTTCTCCCTCCCAAAAATAACCTCTGACATGTTCTCTACAGAATCAGGAGTCTATTAAAAATAAGAAGTATGGCTAAGTATGAAAGGTCGTGAAGGGTTCAACATTGTGTGAATAACACAATACGACAAGCCATGGATGTTTGACATCGTTTGACAGGAATGGTTGTCTATATTGTAAAGTGGTTGCTATAGAATCAAGGTATTAAGAGTGACATTCTTCCATGATGAGAGCAATCATTAACATCCAATCCTCCAAAGAATCCATGGTCTCAAGGCTTCTTTTCCCCAAAGCCTTATATAGAATCACACACCTTGAGGTGTGGCATTCTATAGAAACTCACCGGCGCTTGTGTCTATAGTATATAGAATGCCCTCCTCTATAGAATGGTCCAAAATGAACCCCGATTCACACCCCTATGATTCAACTACACTTTGGCGGATAAAATTGCTCTTGAGTTTTCCTGCAAACAATACGGTTCTGCTTCTGCATGGGCTGTTTCTGTAGGTTCAGGTCGGAAAAAATGGACTTTCTTCACACTTGGATCTTCGGTTTCAGAGCCTGAGAGGCCTGAGAAGAAGTTGAACTGTTCGATTTTATTGGGTGTCAGACGGTGTCAGAACTTGAACACTTGGATCTTTGTAACGCAATGCATAGCTCCTTTCCGAGAGGCGACATTTCGCAGCTTTCCGACATACTAGTATCCACTGCATTTCAGCGTTCATATGCGTGTATTGACGGATGTTAGTGATTCAGGAATTAGTTTTTTTGAGGCTGAAAATATTCTATGTGCATACTAATTATTTTCGCATATTCTATCTGTAGCTACGTCCCTATAGATAGTTTCGTATCCAAGTCCTCAACAAACAAGAAACATTGCTCCGCTGCCACTTCCACTTAATTTCCGACACACTTAACGTCATTCATTCTCAAAACATGGATTTGAAAGGCAGGTGATGAAAAGGGTTTTCCACAAGGAGTAAATTTCCTTACATAAGGTGATGCTGAGTGTGGCAGGGTACTCTAGCGCTCGAGGATCGAGTCCTTCTCTGTCCTTTCCTTCGAATCTGCTGTAGCACTTCAAGCGTTAGGTGAAACGGTATCACTGTACACTCCCGAGAAAGGCGACAGTCACAGCGTACTGGATCTGGCTTGCACTTGAAGCTTCAACTTCATGAGCAGACCAAAGCCCTTCAGCAGTCCGCGCGCTGATTGAAGCACATGAAGCAGGAACCCTTGCTAGATCAGTCGAGCTTCTGTCTTTGCAGCTCTAGTCACTCTAGTCATCATAGTTGCAGCCACACGAGGATCTGGGACACAGTGCTCATCAAAAGGATGAGATATTCTGATACGATAATTTGATGAAGTTGCTCAAAACTGATGCTGTACACAGCAGCACCAAACATGCACAAACCAAAAAAACTTTGATAAGGCCAACACCAAGCCACAGCATCCGAACCAAGCAAGCAGTGTCACCTGAGAACTGTTGTCGGTCGAATTCGTTTACCGTACCAAAACCACTTCGTACAGTATATTACTACATCTGCATAACTCTCTGTTCAACATCTGCTGATAGAAATATCATCGAGATTGATTGCATACTGTGATTGCTTTGCATGATAGACCTATATAAACATCGCTTACACACAAAAAGACGAACGACCACTTGCACCAACAACTGGCACTTTTCTCATGCATGCACCCCTCAGTTCAGAGTTCTTCAGTCAGCTGTACCGCCGCTTGTAAAACAATGCATATTCCACGTAGACCTTAGTGGTTCATCTGACCCCAAAAACGCAACGGAGTTGCTGCGACATGCAACTGGTTTTCATTATATATATATATATCGAAAGACATGGCTAGGGCCCCTTTAAAGGAACCCTCGTTATTTTTGGGTCTATCTATCGACATATGTATATATATATATGCATTTGGAAATCAATGAAAAAACGACCGAGGTGGTGCAGGATTATCACTCGTCATAGGTTTATGTTGCGGTTGCGGCATCCACAGCAGAACTGTTCAGGCTCTCAGTGTTCTCTCAGGTTTTCGCTTGGTCTGCGTCAAATATGACGAACTCCTTCCAAGACTCAAACAACGGCCAAAACCACTGTGGCGCTAGTCAACTTGGAAACTTCAGAATTCATCAAAACTCCTTGAAGGTTCCTCGGCATTTCTCACGGTCCCCGAGGATGCTGTGAAACTTTCCGGAGATACAGCTTTCTTGCAGCCTGAGTGTGTGATGCGACCGGCGCAACTTTGTATATGATTTTTTTTTTGCAGAGATTGTAGAGAGCCATCGGTGAATCAAAGCTCAGGTGATTGTTTCGCACCGCAAAAAATTGTGTTGGTGCCTTGAAATTATATTGCCATGTCATTTGCCGTGCTTGTAATAGTTGGGAATATGGATGGGAATATAGAAATAGGAAGTGTGCTGATCATGCTGCGACATTATATACTAGCATATATTGCGAAGTTTTTGCTTGACGCAATCGGGTTGCAGGTATACTCTGTGATGTCAATGATGCTGTACATCTAGGTCATGATCTACCCTGAAACTGCTACACACTCCTTCTTGGTAGTGTGAGCGATCGAACTGCTAATTCTTTTCTCACTCTGCCACCATAGTCCATTCTGTTTCCATCATGCTCTTGTAGAATTTCTCTTTTCTCTAAGGACCGGGGTTCCTTGAGATATCTGATTGTCTCCTCTCTGGGTGGTCTCTTCTCTTCTCTGCTAGTTCAAGAAACTCTTCATATTGTCCTTTCTCCTCTTCAACTATATGTGCTACTTCTTTTCCAATGTCTCTGCGTCAGTTGCTCGAGCTTCTTCTCAAGTCGACCACACATCTGTATTGCCTGTTCCCTATTTCCTGGTTTGAATCTTCCGTTCGATTTGGTACTTCAGTGGGAACTGGGAACTGCTCCTTGGTTGGCTGCCTGCAACATCACATGACGACCCTGAGATTGTCCCGCGGTTGACCTCATGTCTTCCAAGCTCCTTCTGGCTAAGTAGTTTCCTGCGTTCAGCTCTCTCAACATATCGTAGCTGATTATACCTCGAGCGTCTGGATCCTGTCTCTCTACAAAGCCTCCGTTGACCGGTGAATCAATCCACAAGGAATCTCCTGGCATATCTCTGAGAGTGTTTATCTTGTCTTCATCGTCTTCATTTTCTCTGATCGCAATCTCAAGTTCTACCAGTCTGAATTCTGCTTCATCTGTTCTGAAACGAGTAATCCCCATCGCTTCTTCATAGCGGGTTTCAATATTTTTGTAAAGCTTCCACATTGCAAAGGTCATTGCTGCAAAACCGATGGTAATCTTCATGACAAACGCAATGGTTGCCGCTTTCCAAACTTCATTAAATTCTTCTACTTCCTCCAATCCACACTGGTCATTTTCCTTCTCTTTCATGAACGCTTCTGTAACCATTGGCTGCAAGCCCTCCAACGCTAGAATCCTGACAATCATCTTGGCAATTTTGTTGACCTTTTTTTGTCCTCCTAATGGCTTTGTGTTCATGTCTGACATGTTGCTGTCTGTTGGTACTTGTACCATGTTGAAGTCTTTCCTGTTCTGAACCCACAGCAACTTTCCATCCAAATGTCTCACTTTCCAACTACTCTTTTCAACACAAGTTGGCGCGCGGTTGATGAATCTGTAAACATGTAGTGAGCCACCTTTGTCCCAAGCGCAAATTCAATAACTGAGCGAATGTAGATATTCCACCTGGCGCTGGGGAAACTATTGCGCGCGACTCTGCTTCACATGAAGATAAAATAAGCTAATGATGTTCTGTGTCCTGCTGCTGTTGGACACTGGGCACTTGTTCAATGCTTGGAACCCTCCTGATGTTGACTTTCTGTGGCTCTTGCTTCCCAGTCTGAACCTGAGAATGTTTCCAAGCGCCAATAGCTTTCTCCTTTCTTCACGTAGCCTTCTCCTCCTTGTAAAAATTCAACCAGTAGACAACAGTCTATCGCCTTCTTCAAGAACCGCAATAATTTCTTCAAGTGATGAAGTGCCATAATTGTTGGGTTTGCTATTCTTGAAGCTAGCTCCTGCACTGTAAATGCTACATCATACCTTTCTTGACATAGGTAGATACCTGAGCCAACAATGCTGCTGAATGGGCTAATCCTTTCTAGGTCATCCAACACTTCTGATCTGTCTTCCTTTTGGATGGAGTTGTCTGATGGTAGTTGTTGAAGTTTTGATCTTCCCAATCTGCTCCCCATACACTTTCAGCATCAGCTGGATATAGTTACCTGGTTGGACCCATAGTCCATCAACTTCTAACTTGCAGTTCCTCCTACGGAAATTGAATTCATTTCTAACCCTCTCCATTTTGCTCGCGCTGGTGTCAACCCTGTCTTGAACCTCTGGAAGAAAGATTTCATTGATGAATCTTGAACAGCCTGTAGAAGATTCATCCACATGCATCAAAAGGATACGCTTCTCACCAGGCATCGTCCACTCTTCTTGTTCTTCTTCTGGTTCATGTTCTCCATCACGCCACAAGCATTCATGTCCATTCATGTCATTTTCTTCTTCTTCATCTCCTTTTTCTTCCCAGTCTTATTCATCAACTTCTTCTGCAACTGGGGATAGCCCTTCATCTACACGATAGAGATCTTCTCCTGCAACTTTCACTAAAGTTGATCTTGAACTTCTTGCTTGAATCATGTGGCGGCCTTCATAGGGCTTTCTTCTTCACGCAATTCAAACGATTCCCTTCGATGACGCCAATGAAGATAGTATACGGGTAACTGGGTTGGGTTGACCTGCTGGTAATGACGTGGCTGGAAATGCTTTCCCCTTCTCAAGTGTCTTCTCATCTGCAAAAGGGCGCTTTCTGCTTCTTACTTGGAGTTTCTTCTCCACTTGGCCTTCATCTCCATCTCTCTTTTTATTGGTTCTGCAGGGGTTTCCGGCCGGGCTGGAATCGGTATTGCTTCTGGGAACGGTGCCTCTTCTTTCTCTGAACCACTTCCTCGCTCAAGAGCTGTTGCCATAACTGCTTCTGCGTCTTCACCTTTGGATTTCAACATCACATGCTCTCGGGGAATGTCTGTCTGCGCTGCTGGCAGCGCTTCTGCCCTTCTCTTTCTGGCAATATTCTGCCTCCAAAGTTTGTCTGGTA